GAACAGCCAGTTACTGATCTGGGTCAGGCAGAGTACAAGGGTGGCCAGCCTGTCCAACTGGTGTGGCATGAATGACATATAGAGCTGTATATCATCAGCGTAGATGTGGTAGGAGATGTCTGGGAAAGATTGAATGATGCCAGCTAGAGGAAGAATATAGAATGCGAATAGTAGAGGCCCTAGAACTGAACCTTGTGGAACCCCGCATGTTAGAGAGGCAGTGTCTGAAGAGAAGGTTTCTGACTTCACTGTGAATGTTCTGTTAGTGAGATGGGAAGAGAGCCAGTCTAGAGCAGAACCTGAAATCCCAGCCAGGGCATTTAACCTGTTTAGTAGAACGTTGTTGTCTACAGTGTCAAAAGCTGCACTGAGGTCAAGCAGGAATATGACAAAGCATTTCCCAGCATCAGCAGCCATCAGGAGGTCATTATGCACCCTTACTAGAGCAGTCTCGGTTGAGTGCTGCTTCAGAAAGCCAAATTGGAAGGGGTCAGAGATCTTTGACTTGGAAAACCAGGATCTGAGTTGGGTTTCCATAACCTTCTCAAGTACTTTACTGATGAAAGGTAGTTTAGAAATGGGCCTAAAGTTACTGGTGGAACTGGCGTCAAGGTTGGGTTTCTTTAAGAGAGGAGTCACTACTGCATTTTTAAAGTAAGATGGAACACAGCCTTGGCTCAGTGAGCTGTTGATCATAGTCAACAGAGATGGACTGATGGAGGCAAGGGACCCGACTAAGACAGAGTGAGGTAAGATGTCTGATGAGCATGATGAGAGCTTCATCTGACTGATTATTGAGGCTAAGTCATTTAGTGTAACTGGGGAGAAGGAGGTGAAAGACTCGGAGCACTGGGGGGCCTCCCCTCCTGGGGGGGGGGGGGGGGGCTGGTGGAATGCTGGATCTCAGATTCAGCACCTTGTTGGCAAAAAAGTGGAGAAAGGTGTTACAGTCATCAGCTGAAGATAGCTGAGCCTGCTGCGGAGGAGAAGAAACTATGCTGGAGATGGTATCAAACAAAACCTTAGGATTATTCTTATTTTGGCATATGAGGTTGCTGAAGAAAGAAGACCTGGCATTTTCTACAGCTTTGTTGTATGAATCTAGAAGTTCTTTAAAATATTCGCGATGAACAACCAGACCTGTCCTCTTCCACCGTCGTTCGGCTTTTCTAAGATCAAGAATCTGGTTGTTCAGCCAGGGTGAACTGGAGGCACTGGAACTGCGGCTGGTTTTGTAAGGGGCGACCTGATCTAGAATTTTGAGGCAGTGATCATTAAATGAGTTGGTAAGGAGCTCTACGTCATCAGAGGAAGGAGGTACAAAGTCAAAGAGGGAGGAGAAATTTAAAATGGTAGAACTGTTGATGATACGTCTTTGCTTAGCAGAGACTGGTAAAAGAGATTCAGAATTTAGGTTAATATGAAAAGAAACTGACTTATGGTCACTGAACACAACATCATTTATCTGCAGTGGGAGAATAAGATGGCGCTCGCGCGGGTGCACGCTGCGAGCTGCTCGTCCTCTTTATGCACTGGTACCTTGCTTTTTACTGGTATTTATTGGCGTTTTATTGGCTTTTATGCATTTTTCTTGTCGCTGATCCCTTTTTTGAATGGTGTGGATCCTCTGCTGACATACAATCGAGCTGCGCTGCTGAGGCTTCGTCCTTCCGTTGATGTAGGGGGCTGCGCGTGCTGGGAACCGGGCTGTGCGAGCTGGGAACCTCACGGATGGTGCTGCTGGTTGGACTGCCCGTTTGCTCTCTCCCCCCAAGCCGTGATGTGTCACCCCTCTGTCCGCCCCAGCTCGAGAAGGAAGCATCGGAGAAGACGGGGAAAGAGAGGTAGCCGGCGCATGAGACGTCGGCCTGGATCCCTGAAGAAGCGGCTGGCCCGATTCGGCCCAGCTTCTGACCCGGTGGTTCCGAGATGTCTCCTGGATTACTCGGCGCCCTGCCCAGGGAACTTGGCCGGCTCTGAGGGTGAACCGGCACCGCGCCACGGCCGATCGGCTCGAAGATCTCGCCAGACTGGGGTTTGCTGGGATAATCTGCGCTCGGTTACGGGCACAGAGTTAAAGGAGACTGTGCTCGTGCGCGATCTCGGTGCTGCAGCCCCGCCGCAGACCCGGTTTGGTCTGGTCAATGCCAGGTCTGTGCTGAACAAAACTTTTATTCTTCGTGACTTTTTTATTCAGCATGACTTGGGTTTTCTCTGCATCTGTGAGCCCTGGATCCCGTTTGGTGACTCAAGCGCACTGATGGAGCTGGTACCACCTGGCTGTTCCTGTTTTAATATCCCCAGATCACGGGGCAGAGGTGGAGGGCTGGGTGCTGTTTTTAAATCCAGCTTTCCTTGTAAACAGCTTACACCCACCATGTCATTTTCTTCCTTTGAACTGTGCTCATTTGAACTGTGCATCTCCCCCCGCCTGCTCGTTGTGCTGATTTATCGGCCTCCAAAGACCGACTCTAACTTCCTTAATGATTTCAGTGATCTTGTGGCTGACTGCATCCTAAAATATGATTATGTCCTATTTTTTGGTGATTTTAACATCCATATCTGCTGTCCTGACAATGTGCTTGCTAATGTTTTTTTTTTATTTGCTAGATTCATTCAATCTAACTCAATGGGTATCATCCCCAACTCATGCCAGGGGTCACACCCTGGACCTGGTTCTCTCTTTTGGTCTCCCCGTCATGAACCTTGTGACTTTGCCTCCTGTGTTCTCTGACCACTCTCCTATACTCTGTGATGTTACGTTGCCATGTCCAGTCCCTGTGTGTGAAGCTCCAGCTACTAGGTTCAGAGCCCTGGATGCAGAAACGATTTCAAAGTTTGTGGACTGTATGTCTGTAAGGTTAGAGACCTTTAACCCTGATCCATCAAACATTGATCACTATTCACAACACTTTGATTTACTTTGTAATCAGGTCCTGGATGTGGTTGCCCCTCTCAAACTTTGCAAGTCTAGGAGGGACCCTTGGCTCTCTGATGTCACACGGGCTTGTAGGCGGGCGTGTAGATCCTCTGAGAGAAAGTGGAAAACGGATGGCCTACAGGTCTCGCGTGAGTTGTTCAGAGAATCTCTGGTTGCTTATCAGGATGCTGTGAGGGCTGCTAGAACGGCCTATTTTGCAGACATCATCGAAACAAACTCCAATAATCCTAAGATTCTCTACAAAACACTAAACTCTGTTCTGGTGTATCAGGAGCCTAGCTTCATGTCTCCTACAGCTGCTGGAAACTCTGAAGCTTTTCACAGATTCTTTGTTGATAAAGTATCAGGCATTAGAGCGGCTATTTCTGGTAACTCTATTGACCCTGTTCCAGTTCCTCCATCACCACCCACCCTGAGCTCCCTCAATACTGTTTCATACTCTGAGCTGAATAAGCTTGTTGCGAGGCAGAAGCCATCTGGCTCTCCGCTTGATGTTCTGCCGCCTCGTCTCTGGAAGGCTGCCTTTCCGTGCCTTGGCCCTTCACTTGGTCAGATTATCAATGGGAGCCTCAGCACAGGTGTTGTCCCAGCTGCTTTGAAAGCAGCAGTTATTCGGCCGACCCTGAAGCATTGGCGGTTCTAGGGGCGGGGCCACAGGGGCACTGGCCCCTGCTGAAATATGATTGGCCCCTGTAGTGCCCCTGTCCTGTCACTCATCTGTCCTTTGTGCGGTGATGAGATTATAGGTGGATGCAATTCCGAGTCCAAACACTAGTGGCCGTGTGGCGCTAAGGAGCAAAATAGTGTGTGAAATCCAACAGAAGAAGATTTGAAAGATTCCAAGAAGGGAGAACTTTTCAACCGACATCGGATCTGATGAGAGTCCACGTTATGAGGAGTTTGTTGGTAAGTCACGAATCACTGTTTACTCACAGTTGCCATGTAAGTCAAGTCTGACAATAAGTCCAATGGAAAGCAATGCCGACATTAGTTAAAGGTAATGTTAAAAAGGGCTTGTGAAAAAACGTTAGCCCTTGCTAATCCATGTACTTCTTTTGTAATCTGCATTTCGTGTGTTAATAGTTGGCACTGTCTGATAGAGAACATGAAAAGAAAGGGTCAGATACAGGCGGGAATTCTGCAGTTTTTTCCCAAGAGAGTGAGTGTGTCAGCTGGTGAAAACGAGCATGGAGAAATCAGAGAGAGAGCAGCAGGAGGCAGTAGACAAGAGGCTGGAACAGGGCAAGGGACCTCCATTCCCCCTTTATCAGGTCAGAAAGAATATAATCTTTATTGTGCAACAGTCATGTCAGATAAACACGAGAGACAGCCTCTTGTAGGACATACCATGCTGGGAAATCAGCGTACGTGTAATATAAACGTGCCGTGGTGGCATGGTGTTGCGGGAATTTTGTGGCATTCGTGCTGCCACGGTTGATACTAATATCACCGCAACGCCGGACTTGTGAATGCATATTACAACTTGGCGCAACAGAAGGGGGTATCATGATCACGTGGGCAGTTACTGCCGAGCTCCGGCCGGCAACTATATTGAAAATGAAAGTAAACATGGGCCGTAAGTTTGGCTTTTCTAAACAGAATCAGCTGAGATGATGGCCGGGGAGCCTCTCCGTAAGAGTTGAAGCTCAGATCACCAGAGACTGCACGGGGACAGACACCTTCTGGAGCGGCTTGTTAAAAAAGCTTAATGAGTGTGGCTTTGATCGCAATTAAAAGCAAGTTATGTCCAAGATAAACTGAAGTCCGTGGCAGCGCAGAGACCGCCCCCAAGCTCCCTTTTCACAGCCATCACATAATCTTTTGTAAAAAGATCATGATTGCACCACATTATCCAGCAGGACGGACTGACCACTTATAAACGACCTAATGCTGCCCAGTGTGTTCTGCTTATAATTGAGGATAACCTTTTCCCATTTTATCTTGGAGCTGATCCAGTTAATGTGGAGTCATTTTCTTGCACAGAAAATTTGCATTGAGCTTTTTATATTTATCAGTAATAATTGGGACAGTTATTCCAAGCACCAAAAATTAAGGATTATTGTTTAAATTGATAGAAGTTGTTAATCGTGACAAATCATTAGTGGCAAAGTTGCTTCCCTTTAGTAAATGATTTTATGTTTCTCAAAGCATCTTTCCATTCATCATCAGTAATGTTGCAGTTAAGTTTCCTTTCCCACAATTCCTTCAAGGTTTCCCTAAATTGTGACATTTTGATGTATTGTAAAATGTGTGGGAAAAGTCCTTGTTTGAAACACTGAATTTTCTAATTGGTTGATTAAGTAAGGTCAAGGTTAAGTTTTCCAAAGAGATTTTGTGTTTTGGATATTCCTTTGTTAGTCCAACTTTTCCTGCCATTATTCTAGGTAAAAATAAAAAAAATCACCATTATCTCAAATTTGTTAAATGATGTTATCTTGTAATAATGGCACATATGTTTACTGAATTCTTCCACTTCATGGTGATGTGGTTTACTATAACATTAACATAATGGATTTAAATTGTATTGGTTTCTTTGTCTACATCTACCACATCTCATCTTTATAGTCCAATCTTTCAAGCCTTCAATTTCAAATAAATAAAAATGTGGTCTCATAGAAAACAAAGTTTTGGCTGGATTTAGCTGGAGTTTGACATATATTTGTATTTTAGCTGCAAACTGGGACAAGACTCTCTCCAATTCAGACAACCAGAGTGAAGTTAATGACTCAACCTTCCATCCTGCTGGGCCACCAGAGTCACCAATCAATGCTAATCCTGCAGGATCAAATGGTAAACATTGATCTTTGAAAGTAATAAATGCTTGTGTATGTATTTGGCTTATGTTAGATAATTTCTCATTTGCTGTTTTCAGACATCTTCCAGTGTGATGCACAGAATCCTGCGCAGACATCAGAACAGTGTTCTGTTCCAGTAGGACCTGGTGGTGTGCTTCTCATTTTGTAAAGGCTCTTTAAATTTAATTGAATTTTGCAGTCAGTCACTTGCAGATTCTGAATGCCATGAATGTTAAAGGTTGAGAGATATAAGCAACTGACTCAGACTTATTTAATTGACTTCCCACCAGACATTTCCCAGTCAAGAGCAGAGGGTCCTGTGATATTCTTCTGGTGTTTTTTCCACACACAAACATATTTTAACCTGATATTTGTGGCTTTGCAAAATAAATTGAATGCTAAAATTTCTCAAATGCTGTGTGTGGTTGTATTTTGTCAATGTACAGTAAAAACTGATGTACAATTGCATTGATGTTTTTCAACATGGTGTTGGGGTAAACTGTATCTACCATACAAAACTGGGAATAGTATGCAAGTATGTTGGACTGTACGTGGCCCCTCTATAAATATTGTGGCCCCTTGATGGCCCCACCCTCAGAAAAATCCTAGATCCGCCACTGCCCTGAAGAAACTTGGTGCTGATGTCTCTGTGATAGAAAATTACAGGCCTATCTCTACCCTGCCTTTTACATCAAAACTGCTTGAGAAAGTCGTTTATCAGCAGCTGGTCTCACATTTAGCTGACTCTGATCTGTTTGAGGTTTTCCAATCAGGGTTCAGGTCTGGCCATAGCACGGAGTCGGCTCTACTGAGGGTCCTAAATGACATCTATCTATCACTAGATCAGGGTACATCTACTGGATCGCTTGGAACGATGGGTTGGGATCAAAGGGTCAGCTCTGGATTGGTTTAGATCGTATCTCCACAGCAGGACATTCTGCGTTAAACTGGGTGATGTTTTTTCTTCTTGGGAGGGGCTCCGCTGGGGGGTCCCGCAGGGATCGATCCTTGGTCCTCTTTTGTTTGCCATTTATCTGCTACCTCTGGGGTCAATCTTTCGTAAACATGGCCTATCATTCCATCTCTATGCTGAAGATTGCCAGATTTACTCTCCATTGTGTCAGGAGAAAGCTCACTCTATCCAGTCCTTTGTGTCCTGTGTTAACGAGGTGAAGTGTTGGCTAATGGCCAACGTTCTGCATCTGAATGAGGGAAAGACAGAGCTCATTGTTTTTCACCCCAACAGCAGGAATGTGGATCGTTATGTTGATCTTGGGCCTCATTCTCCATACTCAAAACCAGTTGTGACCAGTTTGGGGGTGAAACTTGATGCTGGACTTAAATTTGATGCACACATCAACTCTGTGATCCAGTCCAGTTTCTTTCACCTGAGACGCCTTGCAAAAATCAAGCCCATGCTGTCGAGAGCCCACCTGGAGCGGGTACTCCATGCTTTTGTAATTTCTAGGCTTGATTACTGCAGCTCTCTATATGCAGGGTTGTGTCAGTCATCACTGCGCCGCCTTCAGGTTGTGCAGAACAGCGCAGCCAGGTTCCTGACTGGGACCAGGAAATGGGACCACATCAGTCCGGTTCTGGCCTCCCTGAACTGGCTTCCAGTTTGCTATCGTTCACACTTCAGACTCCTCGTCTTTGTTAGGGCTTTCTCAGTCCTAGCACAGTCGCTATGGAACCAGTTGCCACCCTCAGTTGGGCTGTCCCCATCTCTGCCAGTCTTCAAGAGTCACCTAAAAACCCACCTCCTCCGCTTGGCGTTTCCTGAACATGTTTGAATTTGGCCCTCTTTTATGTTGACTTTATCTCACAGTTTTCATTAGTTCACTTTTTCCCTTGTTTTACACATTTGTCTCCTACTAGAATGTTTCACCTTTTTTTGTAATTTGTAATCTATAATTTGAATTGCTTTTATTTTCTGATTTATTCACTTTATTTAACTTTGTACTGTTCCGTGTTCAGCGCCTTGGGATTCCTGACAGGGTTGCGGAAGGCGCTTTATAAATAAAGCTTTGATTTGATTTGATTTTGATTTGCAGTTTATCAACAATAAGTCCGTAGGAAAAGACCAGATCCAGGGTGTGGCCTGCTCTGTGAGTGGGACCAGACACGTGTTGAGAGAAGTTAAAAGAGTTCATCATGTTTAGGAACTCCCTGGTAGAGCTGTTAGATAGATCCTCAGCGTGGATGTTGAAATCTCCAACAATGATTATCCTGTCTAGTTTAATAGTTGAAGATAGGAGATCCTGAAAGTCAGACAGGAAGGATGAAGTAGATCCAGGTGGGCGATAGACCAGAATTCCATAAACTGGTAGAGCTCGGCCAATTTTAATCATGATCATCTCAAATGAGCTGTAGGAGTTTGAGGATATAATTTGGCACGAAAAGTGTTTTTTAAAGATAACAGCTGTTCCTCCACCGTGGCCTGTGGTTCGTGGAGCAGAGAAGAAAGAGCAGTCTTGAGGACAGAGCTCACGGAGATGAGTGACGTCATTTTCGCGCTACCACGACTCAGAAATCCACAAAAAGTTTAATTTTTCGGTGCAGAACAGATCGTTTAGGATGTGAGACTTGTTGGCAATGGAGCGCGCATTAATTAACGTCATTTTCGCAGAGAAATCTGGCGATGTGTGTGCCGCGGGCTCCATAATGGCAGTCGGCTGGCGGCCTAAGCTACGTAGCGACTCCAGGCTACGCCCGCGGAGGTTCTTTGTCTCCCACGCCTTCAGGTAGCGTCCTGCATCAGGGGCACCATTGAGCAGCAAGATCAGCCCAACTCCGTTGAGTTTCTGTTGGATCCGCCACAACACAGCCGCGGAGCAGCTTCGCCTCTCAGGATCTTTCGGAGCTGAATGAAGAAGCCAGCTCTCTTCCCCCGTTTCCTCTTCCATGGCCTCCGGGGCAGCGGCAGGCCCACAGGTAACAAAGGGCCGAGACCTGAGGTAATGCCAGGTTCCAGAGGCGGTGGGAAAGCGGGTCCGGTATCGGAGTTCTGGAGGTTGATCATCGCGGACCTGATCGACAATAGTAAGTCTCGATCATATGTTAGCAGGGAATCCGCACAAGATAGAGAAAAAACTATAAAAAACAACAAATAACCAAAACAGATCAGGAGCCTAGCAGACGCACAGCCACTCATGGGCGCCATCTTGCCATTTGTAACAGGTTCTTTAGAAGCAGAGGGACTGGCCATCCTTTCTGTGTAAAGAGGAAATGTTGGTTAAATGTCAATATGTGTTTACATTACTCTCCAAAGTTTCACTCACCTTTCTGGTGGTGTCTCCTCAGCAGGGCGGGACAGCAAAGGGAAGTTTGTGTCCCAGGTGCTGCTTTTAAGCTGCTGGAGCATACCACTTAAATAAGGAGGTGTGATTCCTGGAGGAGTTATGTGAAACCTAGTTTCTTTTGTTTGAGTGAACTTGGATTTATTTAGTTAATATAATTTGTATTTATGTAAATAATGTTTGGTATCATTTATTATTTGGTGGTTGGGTTTGGTAAATATTATTTAGTTATTATTTCTTTGATTACCCCTTTTCTTGGTTTCTTCCAATCATTCACTCTGTTATAAAAGGCAGTGAGTGTTAGTGTTAGTTGTTGGTGACAAGACATGCTGCAATAAAGCCACCTCAACCTGATTTATTTGTTTGCCTCTCCTTCAAACCAGGTGCCGCCGCCGGTCAAAACTGACACACTCTGAATTTCCACACAGGTAGGTTATATTTCTACATGGTTTGTTGTGGATCTCAAATCTGAAGATTCTTACAGGCTCCGAGCTGTTGCACTGCATTCTTTTTCTCCCGTGGCGTTGCAATAGTTCTAAACCTTCTGCAGATGTAGAGCTTCCTCTTGTGCTTTGGGTCACCACAGATGATGAATCCAGCTGAATCCCTAATGGATTTAACAGTCTTTGTGCGGACATACTTTGTTGGGAACTTTATCTTCTCCTTGGCAGGGTCTATGTCTCAGCTGATCTAACTGCTCGTAGATGGATTCTTGAGATTGGAGGTACATAAGCAGCTTGTCATAATGGTTCTTAGGAGTCACAGCATGCTTAGGGTCAGCAGTGTGAGTAAGCCAGTCTTTCTTCAGAGACTCAGGTAATTTGCTATCAATAAATTTTATTACTAACAGGTTCTATATTGCATCTGTTTTATTTAGTTCATTCAGATCATAGAGGGCCTTTTCAACTGCTTGGATTAGCTCAATGATTCTTTTTGGCTGGTTACTATGAACAGCAGTGATAGCTTGTAGTTCTTCGATGATCTCGACGGCAATGGTGGCTTGATTTCCGTAACGGTTCTCGAGGACTCTGAAGATCTCCTCTGCTGATGCATATGTAGACAGACGCAGATCTCTAGCCATCCTCTCGTCGAGTCAATCAAGCAGTTGAAACCTCTTCACCTCCACAGACGCGGTTGGTTCGCCTTGCCTTTGAAGAGTCTCCCACTCCTTCCTCCATTGGTAGAACTCACGCTGTTTACCGGTGAACCTCGGTAAAGCTGTGGCTTTCAGTTTTATGGCTGCGAAAGGGGCTGTGCTGTGGACTATGATAGGTGCTTGGGTTGTGCCCCTTTTAATTCTTGCTTCTTTGATCAGGGCGGTTTTCACTGTCAAGTGCTACTTTTTCTGTGAGGCGTCGACACTTAAAGACCAGACTTTGGCTTCACTCAGATGTCTTTATTTGACCAGTTTCAGGATCATCATAAAGGTCAGCATCAGTATCAGGTGAAAACCGATAGCCTGTCAAGATCAAAAGTCCTCCTCACAGTTGAATTGTTTGCTTGCCTCTGTCATCTCAGTTTGTCACACACTGGCTGAATGCCTGCTGCATGCCTTGAGAAGCCACTGAATTGTGAGGTTGTGTGCTCTTGATTTCTTAATTTGGCTCACCTGGAGGACACACACCAGAGTTCACAAGCCCCCTCTGGCCAGTGAGAAGATTGCATGCAGAGCTCATGTGCAGATACTGTGCAGGAGACAGCATGAGGAGGAGACAGTTGACAGAGCAATCTCTGCCAAGTCAGCATGACACTCAGAAGCCATCAAACCTGAATGAACTAGAGATGTTTTGTAAAGAAGAATGGTCCAAAATACCTTCAACCAGAATCCAGACTCTCATCTGAAGCTATACAAAGCTTTGTTTTTTGTGGTGCCCAAATTTATGAACCTGCCTAATTTTGGCAAAACAATTATTGCACACTTTCTGTAAATCCTATAAAATTTGTTTCACTTCTTGAAAATCAATCAATCAAGGCTTTAATTTTATATATATATAGCACCTTCCACAATCTTTTTTGGATGCCCAAGGCACTAGAACAGAATGTAAAAAGACAGTCATAAAAAGAGATTAAAACATTAAAACATTAAATGAAGAGCATAAGGCAAAGTTCATTCATAAAACCATGAATGAAAGTGCCCTAACAAGGAATAAACAGCAATTAAAAAGAAGAACCAAAAATAACAGAAAAGCAAGCCGACTTCAAACATGTTCTGGAAATGCTAATTGAAAAAAGAAAAAAAAGTTCTCAGTCGACTCTTAAACTAGCAAAGAGGTACACTGCCTAACTGCAGGTGGCAGCTGGTTCCACAGTGATGGGGCTAGGACCGAGAAAGCCTGGTCCCCACGAGTTTGACACTTAGTGCGAGGGACAAGGAGGCCCTGATCAGAAGAGCGCAGAGTGAGTGAAGGCAAATGTCTCTTCAGGGGCACCGCTAAGTAAGGAGGGTCGTCTCCCTGAAAGAAATTAGACACAAAAACCAGGAGTTTAAAACGTGCCCGATACAAAACAGGGAGCCAGTGTAGGGAGGCCAGCACAGGACTGATGTGATCCCACTTCCTGGCTCCAGTCAGAAACCTGACGGTGCTGTTCTGTGCAATCTGAAGATGACGCAGTGATGACTGACCAATAGAGAGAATTGCAATTATCTAATCTAGAGATTACAAATGCATGGAATACCCGCTCCAGGTGGACTCTCGACAATGTAGGTTTGATTTTTGATAGGCATCGCAGATGGAAAAAACAGGATCGGATAACGAAGTTGATGTGAGCATCAAATTTAAGTCCAGAGTCAATTCTCACCCCCAAGCTAGTAACAACTGGTTTCAAAAAGGGTGAGTGCGTGTCTCTTATGATATATTTGACTGAAAACTTTTATTGTAACAACCAACAATTTATGTAGGGAAATCATGAAGATTGACAAGGCTGCCCAAACTTTCGCATCCCACTGTAAACTGTTTTAGGTAAACACTGGTTTAACATTTAAAAAGCCACACTGACAATTGTACATTCATATATAACAGTTTGTTTTTACTTATGACTTTGCACAGAAAAATGTACTATCCAAGGTCTAAAAAATAGTCCACAAATTTAGTCAACTTGTGAAGTGCAATAATATAAAAATGATGAAAGATAAGTGAGGAAAACACATAAACTTGGTCCATAGGGTCAAAAGGTGAAGTACACACCACAGGGCACATTCCCAGACTAACCAATCTTTCCAAGTCTTTCTATGTCTGCTGCGATTGGACCATCCTGTTACCATAACAACTCAAATGTCAGCAGCCTGCAGACAGGAGAGAGTCCAAGTTGTTGAGTCACAAAGTATGTCTGCCTTTTTTTATTAAGTGACCATGCGCATCTGCTGCTCAAGTCAACAAAGACATGTCTCATGTGGAAGCATTGGGTCTAGCTTGGTCACACAAAAATAAAAACAAATTTTTGTGTAGAAATAATTACAAAGATTTCTTCCATTTTGACTTTTTTTTGTCTCTTTTTTGTGCAGTGATTGTTTGCTCAGCACTTAAGGCAGCTGCCATGTTTTAGTGCTTTACGAATAAAAAAAGACAAAAAAATGGAAC